ACTGCACACACACGAGCAGCGGATCTCACTCGTTGTTTCGCTTCCCGGGAGATGTAGTTCATAGAGCGATTTTCACATAAAACTAAATGTTACTTCTGTTTTATGACAAACTGCGACGTTTTTGACTTTCAGAATTATTAAACATCATATGTGTAATTGAAGGCACAGTTCAGACGGAATAAAAAGATAAGTTGTCTCTCGCCATTGACTACCATTCATATTTTTTCCGAAATAAGGTCCCATGAGCCGGAAGCGGAGGGGCGGGACTTAGGCTCTCTATAGGAATTCATTGAAAACGCTAGCTCTGTGTCAGTGGACACGCACCGTAAGCTATTTAACTCTTTCCATGCCATTGACAAGTTCTTGTCTCTTTTATGAGAAAACACTTCCCTGCCATTGGTGGGACTTTACAGCTCTCCGTGTTATCTCTGTTATAAAGAAGGGGGCGCTATTACTGATCTCCTGAATGAGTACAGCATCTCCAGATCAAAACACAGGCAAAAAAGCAGCATAAATGATCTATATGATATGCTATGCTGCTCAAAACTACACAACAGGATTTCTTGTCATCTTGTCTTAACAACGCTCTTACTACACAACACAATGCAGATGGTGCACAAACTACAAGATATTTGGCCAAGTGGCAATCCAGAACAATGTGTTCTAATACAAATTCACATTTACATTAGAGAGCTGCTCATGTTCACTGTCTAAGTCATATGTTCAGGAAAAAAAGAAAATTGGTCCCTGGCTAACCCTGGCTGTTAAGCAAAAACTGATAATAAAATATCATAATGTTAAAGTATAGTGCAAAGACCACTTATTTACGGTTTAAAAATATATTTTTATTAGTATAAAATAAGCTTTATCAAATTTTTGCCTTGCATTCACGTACATTAAGGTGCATGATATCATTAGAGCAGTTCACCATATTGTCTCGTCGCTCGCACTACAAGATTACGTGGCGATTATATTAAACAGGTTATATCGCAGCACCTGTGGCGGATCGAGACATGCTCAACTCGTATTTGATGAGCACAGATTTGGCCAAGCTTCAAGGGTTTGTCACAGACCTTGGAAATCTCACTGCGATAGCAAAATCCAGTCAAAAAATGTGTAGTGTGAGCCTGCCTTAAAGGAGTAAATCACTTTTCAAAAACCTTTTGCAGATAATTTACTCACCCCCATGTCATCTTTATTGAAGGTTTTTTTTCAAAAGTGAACTACTCCTTTAAGCCTACTCTCGTCGACTAACATTTGGTCGACTATTAATGGGCAGCCCTAGTAATTATTAACTCAAGTCATTCCAAAATGTACTTTCTTCATTGGATCAAAAGATGTTATGAAGAATTAAAAACATTGGCCCACACCGACTTTTATCATATTGAAAATCTTCAGTGTCCCAAGTCCAATTTCTTTGGAATGATGTGAATGGGAGAACTAATGCCTTTAAGTTGTTAAAAGACTGTCTGGGAGACCCTCAGCAATACCTCAAACTTAACCCAGACCTCCTCTTCAGTCAAGTAACTCCCCACATCAACCATTACCTCGTCAGACATTAACTTCAAGAGAGAGAACAGAGTGGCTTTGTGGAGACATCTGAGAAAGAAGTTATCGTTCCAATCCAGATTCCTTCATGTCTGGTGTAAGGACAGGAGGCTGCTACTTCAAAACAACATCTCAGTTTCAAAGACACTGAAAGCTATTTGAAGCAGGCATACTTACATAGCCCTTGAAAATTAACTGATCAAATAAAAGCCACAAACATATATTAGGTGTAAAATGAATTTCTCACATGCTTGTCTTTTTAAGTTTCAAAATAAATCACATCACTTCCCCGATACCAAAAGAAATTCACAAAACACAAGCTTATAAAGCAATGTGGCAAGATGATGGGTAACTTTGGCTTTTAAAATGTGGCTTTTAGTGTAATGTCTGTAATATTCTTGATAAAATAAAGTTTTAAAACAAACATTTTAACTGTTATTATATGATATGGCTAGCAGAGAAGTATCATTAAAGGCCAGTGGAAACCTATGCACATAAAATATTTGTTTGACATAGGCCTACTATAAATACAATATTTAAGTTTTTTTTTAATATCAAGAAATGAGTAGATTTAAATAAATCGCACCTAACAACTTATTAAACCGTTAGTATATATTAAACTTACATCATAAATTGCATTAAAACTTTAAATAACCATTCACGTAAAGGAAAGAAATATTTGTTAACATAAGCTTGTGATCATGTCGAACTCAAATACATTTGCATAAAAATAATATAGGCTAAATATAGTTTTTAAAGTTTGTAGTTTAATTAATAATGCCATGAAGTAGTGACTTTATGCAACAACTAACGTTAGGAGCCTATGAGTTAGCCTACAACCATTTCAGTATCGGTTAAGGGATCCAAGATGCAAAATAATCTGTATCTTGTCTTTTATTTGATAAAAATCGACCAATAAGACAATATTACATAAACATATTTTGAGGATTTTAAATTGTTCGGTCTGTCTCTCATCCAACGCAACGTGTCGATGTGAACGCGCGCGAATGGTGGCGCGCTTTACCTGAGGTGAATCTTTTGCTCCTCTCTAAATAATAAAACTACATCCAACATCCCTAAAAAACAGCGTGGCGGTTCAACGCCACTTACAAAAGACGGAGATACGACTTAATATCGACCACAGAGACGTTTCATCGTACGGTTACGAAAGGTCGGTTATCCATCCACATTTCCATGAAAAATCCCATTCCAGCTGTGCTTAAGTTTACTATTGTTCTCCGCCTGACGCAAGAAAGACGCGACTGTTCCTTATAAGACAACTTAAGAGCCCTAGTTAAACACTAATTGTCTTGTTATTTGAAAAATATGCGTATAAACTTCTCACAACGCAACCGATAAATTAGATAACTTGCTAGTTATTTCAGTGTGTGAGGAAGATGTCACCAAAAATCCGTTGGCCGAGTCACTGTCGAAAAGCGGGAGAGAGAAAACAACGTTACCTCGTTTAGAAGATTTCCACACTTTTCCTTAGCTGCGTCCTTCGAAAGACTTCGTACGAGAGCATGAAATATCACCACATCTCAGCTACCTTAGACGATAAACTAGCAACTAGCCACACTCTTTTTTTTAACCCATTCGGAGTGTGTCTGGATGTGAGTCCTCCCCTCACGCCGTCGGGGTTCATATAGCGTGAGTAGTAGGACAAAGGCTCCCGAAAATGCTTTGCTCCCGCCTTCCTCTGCGCACCCCACCCCCTTCCAGCATTGAGTATGAAATCTGTCTGATCATGCTTTCACCGATAATTTTTTTAAAAATATATATCTCATACCCATCACATTCTTGATCCCATCACATATTTGAGATAGGCCTAAATATAAACAATAAATAAATAAAATCAACAAATTCCATTTAGCACATTACTGTGGAGCCCCTAACTGGACATGGTGAAGGAAAAAAAAAATGAGATGGAGGATAAATCGCATACTTCCACAGGTGAAACCCAGTATAATAAAAGATTAGGCAAAAAATGCCCTTGCTTCTTCCAGCGAGAATCTGCAGTGGACACTTTACTATCCCATGAGGCCACGGGAGAGGATTTATGAATGGTAGTGAAGCGATGTAATGCTGGTTGGTCATATGATAATGACAACATGGCGAATGTAGTATGCCCAGATTACATTCATACTATAGCCTACACACTCATACTATATAGTAGTGTAGAATAGTATACTTTTTTTAAGGTCATGAAGTAATTACTTATAAGTACCTACTCGAGTGATTTCGGACGCAGCTTCTGTCAATGCTTTTGTGTTCTCTTGCAAATGTTTTGCTTTCCGCCAAGAAACTTTTACGTTCCCTTGCAAAAACTCGGAAATAGCTTAAAAGCATTGTTTTGCAAGTGAATGGAATGTTTCTCAGGAGAACGCAAAACGTTTCGCGAGTGAACGCAAAGTTTCTCGGCGAACTTCGCCAAAGAGGCGAACTTCACGCCTCTTTTTTTCCGTTTTTGTTTGTTGTCCACCTGAGCCCAATCTGGGTGTTTGGGATGTTCACAGTTTTGTATTTTTGAATAGTACGATTTTTAATAGATCATACAAAAACATACAACTAACAGTGTACGAATTAGCCACCAATTTGCAGAAACGTTATTTTCGGAAACAGATTGTTAAATAAACTTCCTTGATTAAAATATTTGACTTGGGCAATAATTATTTTTTATTTTTTTGTGTGTTCCATAGAAGAAAGGAAGTCAAACAGGTTTGCAATGATGTAGGTGAGTTAAGGAATATAAAATTTTTATTTTGGGGTGAATATCGCAGTCTTAATCACATTACAAGGGTGTATTTCAACATAGCTAGTATCAGGCGTTGTACAGGATTGCATTTTAGTGGCTATATTTTACAGGTCCTAACTGTGTCAGTGTTTAAAAATAAGTCATTGAAAAACTAAAATTGTTTGACAAATTTTACGTTTCTTGTTACGTTTATTTCAATGAACCATTGTTGATGTGGGTTTTTTTTCTTCAACGATACTGAATGCAGTTTTAATGTATTGTCATTCTTCCTTTTTCCTCTTGAGTTTTACTGGATTTAATTTGAGATTTTTGCTTCCTTCTTCACACAATAAACAAAACTGAAAAGATCTAGATGACAAATCACTCTAGTTTCAATGTGATATTTTTTTCCGTCAGTTGTGATGACAAATGATTATGGAACAACTTACTCATCTATTCATTTTCTCAATGCATGTAAAAGGAAGAAATTAACTGTCATTACTTACAAACAAGTTGGATTCGGAATGGACTAAAGTCCCATTCTAAGAGCTAATTAAAACATTTTCCTTGATTTTTTTTTTTACATTTATTTAATACATTTCATTGAAACCCTTTTTATAGAAAGGAAGGATGACAAGAAGTATCTTTAAAAGCATTGCCTGAATGTAACATGTGATTGTATGTAACCAACAGCTTTCCCTTTTCCTGCCGAGGATGGTGCTCGGAAGTTGTTGTTATTGAAGATCTTTCCTCCATTGCGTTTTCCACAGGATGAGGCTTTAAAGGGGGGCTTCCCTTTCTGAGTTCAGGGTATGTTTTTAACAGATCAACACATTCAATAACTCCAAGTGTGATTTGATAAGACTTATAGTTGCCTGTAATCTTCAATTAAAACTATATGTAGAAACAGTGCACCCAACTTTCGAAGACTTTGTATTAAACCAGCTGTGGCTTCTGGCAGCATTAACCACCAATCAGATGAACAAATGCTGACAATTCACATTTGTAAGGCAATGTGAGGGATGCTCGTTTAATGCACTATTTTCATCTATATCTTTGCAGAAAAAAAAACTACAGAAATATATTTAAAACACAACAAAAACTCTTCATACTTTTTATCCCAGTGCCACAGCCAACAGAATGACTGAGACTGAGCTTATTGCTCATCATAAACTAACAACACTGAAGAAATAATGATCCCTAAACAAAATGTCAAGCCTTTTATTGAGCCTTTGTCATAATATTTTCTACGCTATGCATCCATTTCTGTTAACTATAGACCAGCAGTACTTTTACAGAAGATTCTTTGGCTCAGGGACCTTTTTTCTTTTGCCAGAGCAATTTAGAAATCTATTTCAAACAAGTCTCTTAAAAGTGCTAGGTCATAGAAAAATCTGATAGCCTGCCAGTCAGATAAATGCAACTGTCTAATGTGGTTTGTTTCATGGTATTTTTACTGCTAACCACAACGCTTTTGACAATAAAACAAACTTCCATATTCGAAACATGTGCGGATCTAATCACTTGCATCCTAAGGTGAACCTCCACACTGCAGTGTTTTCCCAGAGGTTGGTTATTATTTAATGAACACAAATGGCCTAAAACACCTTAAGTTGCAGTCGACATTCAATGCTAGTAATTAACTAATGCCATAAACACACACAGTTGTTAGAGCTTCATTTACAGTTCTGCAGGGAAGTGAAATAGGTGCCAACTGTTGTAACGTTTACCACCTGTGTTGTTAAGCCTAATTTGTGATTTACCAACTACCGCTTACTTTACTGTAACATAAAATACTTTTACAGGTCCCTCCATCTTACACCTGTAATTTTTCTAATTTGAAAATTTCTTATTTTCTTCTTAAAATCAGATTTTTTTCCAAACTAATCCACTCCTGAATTAATGAGTGTTTTATAATGTGTTTATAATGCTGTTCACTTTGACATTGTGATTGTACATGAAGTTGCTTTTATTGTTTTCAGTGGTACACAAGGATCAATTTAGAAGGCTTTGAGTGGTGATCAAACTAAAATGTAAGTATTTATTCACTAATGATCTTCCATTCTCCCACAATCTCATTTGTGTTTAAATTCAGGTTTATAAAATGTGCATGGATTCACCAGGGTTGTGGTCACTGATGTAAGATTGCATTGGTTTGAGAGGTATGTATATATATATATATATATATATATATGAATGCCTATCTAAAAGTTCTGTATCATTTTTCTTTAGAAGACTTTGAAGTGGTTTTTAATGTTTTTTTCTGTCCTTTTTTAGAGCTTGACGGGTCAATGGACTGTCCTACCTTGTGTGTTAGATGGAAAAAATAACATGATTTTGGAATGGAGGTGAGTAAATCATTTTATTTTTGAGCAAACTATTCCTTTAACCGAACAATATAATGTTAACTCATTGAGCTCTAAAACAGATAAGAAGGTTGGCCAAGCAAATGGTATACCGGTAGTTCCCTTCTGGCAGGGATTTTCAATGTGACTGCTTAGCTATTTGGGGGTTGGGGTACAAACCAGTGGATGGGGGTTGGGCACTTGGGCTGTTTCACCCTTGTGTTAGATGACGGAAGAGGTGGGGGGGTGAATCTCTTCTTTCAATTAAGGTAAAGGGAGGATAGCGTAGTGAGACAAGTACTTTTCAGATACCAGGTGAAAAAAACAAGACTTCAAACTCCCAACCCCCTAAGTAAAAGCCATAGAAACAGACAATCTGGTGTCAAACTCCCCCGACATTGTAACAGATGGTTGGAGGTAGAGCCGTCTGGGGGGGGTGGGTTGAAACAGCAATTTCTCAAAGATCCCCATTAAAAGTTTCCTCTTTTCCCATTGAGTCTAGTTACCTGTAAAAAAAAGGGAGGAACAAATTAGTATGAAACAAATGGGGCATTTCAAAACCAGGACATTTGGTAAACAGTAATTTAACAATTTATTTGCACCCAATTTCCAAAAAAAAAAAAAAAATACCTTGGAAATTTCAGTAACCATACTATTAACCTGGAAACACCTAACAATACATGGAATCTATCTCTGTCTTCAATTTCCTGAATCTTGTTTGTGATATGGAACAAATCTTATCACTTAGAACAAATTAGTGTTGACAATAATCTTATTTCCTTCTTCCTTTTAGTCCCCCTGTGGTGAAAAGCAAGCTTTTAATGTTTCAAATGGCTTTGGTGTTTCTGACGTTACAAACTACCTTGTAGCAATCACGTTAAGGTGTGTTCGCCAACGAGTGGATCTCTGAGCTGGTGCAGGTCGATGGAGGCGGGGCTAATTTGCATATTAATAGAACCGTGTATTCCTAATGACGCAAAGGTGGAGAGTTACATTTAAGCTATTTTAAGGCATGAATAATATTTTTCAAGGAAAAAAATGTAAAACATGTAATTTTGGTGATCATATTCGTTTTCAGGGATAAAATTATTGACTGCAGAGGAACTTTAACACTGCTTTTGAAATGTAGTAATGCTTAAATGCATATTGCAGTTTAGAGGACCCAATGAGTCAATGTATACAAAAATAATGTAGGAACTATCATTTTTTTATACAATGTCTTTAACTTTTCTGGGCCGGCAAGTTTCAATCCCTTAGAAGCCTATGGTTGAGTGATCCACCTCTCAGATTTAATAAAAAAATATCTTAATTTGTGTTCCAAAGATGAACAAAAGTCTTAGAATGGGTTGGAACAAAATGGGGGTGAGTAATTACTGAAAGAATTTTTATTTTGGGGTGAATTATCCCTTTAACCCTGCCCAAACTGTACACAACATGAATGAATTGTGTGATAATCCGCTAATAGTCGCTAATAATGTATTTTGGATGTCAAACAGCTTTGTCTACTCTGTAAGTAATTTTGTGAGCACCATCACAAAGTCCTAAAATTGTTAAGGATTCTTCAATGTCCCGGCCCAGTGTGATTCACATCTCAGTGAAACAATCTCACATTGCACAATCGTTGTGAGATTTACAGATCAAGATTGGAAGTGTTGCAATGAATTTATTTATGTAGAAGACACTTTTATTAAAAGCAAATTACAAATAAGGAACATCACAAACATGGTATTATAGACGACAATATTGTGAATTCCACAAATTTCAAGAGAAGGCTGGAGAAGTCAACTTTTTATTTTGTAAAATTAATTAATAAAATGTATTTGTGGGAAGTGTTTTAGATTGTGGCTGTGCGTTTAGGTTAGAATAACACACATCATATCGAATAATCAGAGATATGATGTATAGGCTATAATAGTGTATGTTCATAAATGAAAGGGATATTTCACCCAAATAATAAAAATTTGGCATTATTTCCTGGTGTTTTTCTAAACCTGTAAGACTTTCATGCTTATGTGGAACACAAAAGAAGATATTTTGAAAATAATTATCTTTCTTTTTTATCATATAGTGAAAGTCATTGGGATCCAGTATAATTTGTGACCCAATTCGAATCAATCTTCAAAATATCTTTTGTATTCAGATTAATTAAAATGTGAAAAGTGACAGAATTGAATTTTTTGTGAGAATTACCCAAGAATACATAAAAATAGCATCAACTCGATAAAAGGTTTTGAGAAACAGATATGTAACTCATATTTTCGTGATGATGTCTGGTTCAGGCTTCTGTCAGTGAGTGGGCAGCGAGGGGCCTCACAGAAGCCTTTAGTTACACCGTGGTTTATAGGTCAGCTTTGCCTGGAGAAAGCACATTCTATGAAAACATTAACACACACAAAGCACCTCTGTTTTAGGAAACAGTCTCAATTTCCAAAGGTATTTGGAATTTCTAGAGAAATGGTTGTATCTTATGACAACAAGACAACAGTGTAGCGGCGCATTATTTGCAGTTTAAAATGATGCATCTCAAAAATACTTGGACAGAGAAAGTGACTGTGCATGCGAATGGAAAAGTTGATGACTTCCATCTGGTACACAATGTGCAGAGAGGGTGGGTGTGAGTTTTGGGGTTGACTGGTTGCTTTGTCATGCTATTTAAAATTGAATGTCGACCAATTTTGATACGAGTAGTTGTCTTAAATCTTTAAGAGACCCTGATTTTTTTTCCACCAAGACAATATTATTACAAGACATTTGCTTTGGCCAAGAAGGTATACATAGATGCATTTTTTGTAAAACAAATTGGTCATGTCTAAACTATGAAAGAAGATGTGTTTTCATGCCAAGTGCCTGTTGATCTTCTCGACAGTGTTTTACGTAACCAAGTCTAAAGGTCATTAGTATCACAAAAGCTGAATGAACCTTGTCTGAGAAATGTCTCAAACAATCATGATGTCCAACTAATCAGCCATAATGGGGGGAAGCATGTAATTTGGTTAAAGTATTTACACGTCAGTGCTCATCGTTCACACCTGCTTTGGCAGACAATGGCTCAATTTCATGCTTTCGCAGTTAAAACGGCTGTGCAATCACATACGCATAACAGAAAGCCACATGGTGCAGATGCCACACTTAGCAAACTTGAACTCATGAAAGGACAATGTCAGCACAGCATTCAGTGGCATGACCTGCTTTTGAATACATTACGTATGGAGGAGGAAGGGTGGACGTTTTAACAGCGCAAAGAATCTTGACAAATGTTGAGGACCCCTGTTCAATTGAAGAGGTCACTTTGGGTTGAGACTTCGCACCTTTTACCCCCACTCCTCAACCAGACGGTTGAAACTGAAAGCCATGTGGCTCCATAACTTTGCACCGTGAAAAGAAATAGCTTAGAATTTTAACACCAGACTGGAACTTGTAACAATAGCATTTAGAAGCGAATTGCTCTTTTACTCGTGTCGAGGTGGAAGAAGTTTATATCAACAAAATCACACCTAATGTTCATTGATGTTGGATTTTCAAATAATGTCTCAAGTTTGTCTTAAACTATGGGCATACTTGTATCAATCATCACCATTAAACTTGCAATTTTAAGAGACAAAAGTTTAAGTTCAGTGCTCAGAAACACATACCAATGTTTATTGCATTCTTACTTTGCATTGTCTGAAGTTTGGGTCCCCTCTAAAGCCAATCTGCTGAACTTCCTTTAAAAATGTACACAATAAAGTTTAATGACCTGTCTGCAAGCATAGATGATTATTGCTCTCCACGGGTCTTCTTGATTTTAACTCCTTTAAGGACTTTCAGCTCCTAAGGCTTAAGTTCCCACTGTCCCAACAAATTCCAGTGGTTGTTAGGTTTTGTTGGATTAGTGTCTTAATCCAACAAAAAGCTGAGGCAGTGTAAACCAGCCTTTAGTCTATACACAGTGATTTCTGTGCGAAAAGGAACACCTACTTTGGGTATGTGCAAAAGTGAGTGTTCCTTTTTACATTCGTTTTTTTGTTTTGTTTGGATGAATATATACAATTTAGACAATTTTTTCAAAATTTTGAAATGTAAAAAAAATATGTGTATCATAATTTAACAAATACACTCAAAACAATGGGTTGTTTGAACCCAAATGTGGGTCAAATATGGACAAACCCAAATGTTGGGTTAAAAATGTAATTTCAAATTTGAACCCAACTTCAACTTTCACTTTCAACTGTACATTTTTTAATTGCAATTTTAACCCAACATTTGGGTTTGTCCATATTCGACCCAAATTTGGGTTGAAAGAACCCAGAATTTTTTAAAGTGTATACATTGTATTATTATATACACTCTAAAAAATGCTGGGTTGGGTCACATATGGACAAACCCAAATGTTGGGTTAAAAATGTAATTTAAAATGTTAACCCAACTTCAACTTTCACTTTCAACTGTAAATTGTTGTTTAATTACATTTTTAACCCAACATTTGGGTTTGTCCATATTTGACCCAAATTTAGGTTGAAACAACCCAGCATTTTTTAGAGTGTATCATTGTGAAACGTATGGCGGCATCTTTCTGCAGTGCATAGTCAAAGCTTCTTATCAAAGGCTATTCACCATTGCCCAGTTTTTTTGTCTTTACAAATATTCTGTTTATAATTTATGTGAATAGCATTTCACATACTTGCACTTAGTGTAAACAAGATGCTTTTTGTTGCTATTTGTACTTTAGAGTAAATAGTCATACCAATTTTAATGCTTTAGTTATTCATTGTCCTTGTTTTAGATATGTTCTATTGTGCTGTCACGTAAATAATGCATTCACAATGTGACTTACACATTCTGGCATATACCTTAGTTCAAGTTTAAATGTACATTTCTCTAATTCTCATTAGATTAAGCAATGTTCATGTTGTCTATATATTTGATTAAATTCACATGTGTATTTAGGTGAGAAAATTCACCTTGTACCTTGTCAATTCCAGTCCAGTACCTTGTCAATTCACCTTGTCAAATCCAGACATTTGACTTTGATTCAATTAATTAAAAATATAGAAAATATTGCATTGTTCAAGCCCTTCACTAGTGACTTGTTGTATAATTAAATTTACAAAATTGCAAAATATTTCCCACTATAGTCTATTTAAACATTCCATGTTCTATATTATGACTGTATTTCAAATTATGTTTTTTTAAATTTTTTTGCCATTTATTTTTAACTGCTCCAGATTACTCTAACAGTCTTTTCCCAGGCATGATGGAGCTTTAGCCCAAGTCTGAAAAACAGCTGATCTATTTGCCTTGGCTGTAGCTTACCAAATGCTGAATGTCTTCTCAGCCATTCAGTGCAAATTAAAAGAACAAGTCAGCACAAATTAACTTAACTTCAGAGCTGTCATCTGTGCACAGCCTTGAGCCATGCGTTGGTGTTTTACATTAGTTTAAACTCACGCAATCAGGTCTGCTCCCCAGAAGAATGGAGCATTTTACCAGACAACTATTTAGAAGAGCTCAATTAATGTCTGAATGTCCCTGTCTTTGCTGACAGTAGGGGACAATCATTAATGAGGCCAAATTACTGTAGAGACTGTATATTTATGGTCGTTGTTGACCTGAATTATCCATGTGCAACATTTCATGAACTACCCTAAACAATTAGTTGCTTATGACTGGTTTAATGATAATTTGTTTGCCATTCAACAAGTAGACTAAAATAGTAGCACAATTGCATAATAAGCACAAAACCACGTCTTAGTAAAGGGAAAATTTCAGTGTCTGTTGTTGAGGCAACATGGTTAAAGTAAATTACTACTCAGCCATGTTACTCTATGTGGGATGAAGCTCGCACTTGGCTGTCTGGTGTAGTGGTTAAAGGGTTAGTTCACCCAAAAATGAAAATTAAGTCATTAATTACTCACCCCCATGCTGTACCAACCCCGTAAGACCTTCGTTCGTCTTCGGAACACAAATGAAGATATTTTTGATTAAATTTGAGAGCTGTATAACTACCACATTGGCTCCTAAAGGACTGCCTCTTGACGGCCCAGAAAGTCAATGAAGAAAATGTTTAAATATCCCAAGTGACTACCGTGGCTCAACTATATGTTTATCAAGCGACGCGAATACTTTTTGTGCGGAAAAACAAAAAAAATAACGAGTTTATTCGACTATTTCTTTTCTTCCTTGTAGGCCAGAACGAGAATTCCTTAGATTTCCACGACGCATGCGCGAGATTTGCGATCTGCTCACACCAGCCTTCACTACTTCAGATCGCAATTCTCGCGCATGCGTCGTGGAAATCTATAAGGAAGTCTCGTTCTGGCCTACAAGGAAGAAAAGAAATAGTCGAATAAACTCGTTATTTTTGTTTGTTTTTTCGCACAAAAAGTATTCGCGTCGCTTGATAAACATATAGTTGAGGCACGGTAGTCACTTGGGATATTTAAACATTTTCTTCATTGACTTTTTGGGCCGTCAAGAGGCAGTCCCTTAGGAGCCAATGTGGTAGTTATACAGCTCTCAAATTTAATCAAAAATATCTTCATTTGTGTTCCGAAGACGAACGAAGGTCTTACGGGGTTGGTACAGCATGGGGGTGAGTAATTAATGACTTAATTTTCATTTTTGGGTGAACTAACCCTTTAATTTTCTATGTTTGTATCTCAGAGTTTGCAGAGTTCAATTCCTAGAAGGTGCGATTCATAAGCCTTGGGTTCCTGCACTGTTGCCTCTGGCTTGCTTAGTTGGGGGACACTTAATATTCAATGGTAGTAAAGTATATCTCAATAAAATCAATTGTCTGAATTATAATCTGCACATATGACTTTTAGATGGACAGAAATGCAAATTAAAAAGTCTACACACATTTCTACTATAGATCCGGCAGTGTTGGACTTACAACGTTATGACACTGTCTAATCAATTTAGATTGATGGCCAATTCAGATTAAACTTCACTGTATAGGATGGTGTTTAAATTTTAATCAGCACAACCACAGCTACTAAGCTGACAAGATGATGCAAAACTGCAATTGCTCATGGGAAACAGCAAATGCTAGACAATAAATGCTTGCTTCATTGGTTTCAAGGGTTGGTGATGAATAAATGGTGTTGAATTCAAGGGGCTCATGTTCACTTTATCATGGATCTGAAGTTACCACGAGTGACAATGCAGCTGTAATAAAGGCTTTGTTATGTAGGGACATTGGCGTAGGTGAGCTAAAATTCCCTGAAGCACTTCATCGGAGCACTGGTAAATAAAGATGTAAAATCCATATCCACTAACCTTGCCAGTGAAATATTACCAACACAATAACACAATGCTCTTGAATGAAAACCCACCCTCGCCTTTCTTCTTCTTTGCTGTGTTCCAGGTCACTGAAACTGAAACGAAGACTTGTGAAAAAGTTTCAAGAAATAATCTACCCCCAAAATGAAAATGTTGTCATCATCAATTCATCTTCATGTTGCTCTAAACCTGTACGTCTTCTTCGGTGGAACATAAAAGGTATTTTAATGACACTTTCTTTATATTATAATAAAAGTGAAATGGGGCTGTCAAGCCAACCCGATCTGACAGGAATTCGTACGAATTTTACGAGCTGGCTAATTCGTAACAATTCGTGCGACCTCACTCGTACAAATTAGTAAGATTTTTCCAATTCGAATGAATTTGTACGAATGACCCACCCCTGACCCCGCCCCTAAACCTACCCATCACGTGGGTTTGGACAAATCGTACAAATTCGTACGAGTGAGGTCGTATGAATTAGTACGAATTAGCCACTTTTTAATCACTCGTACAAATTCGTACGGATTGGTCGTGAGATAGCGATGGTCAAGCTTAAAAAAGGACGTCCAAGTCTTAACTACTACATACTATAAATTTGTGACAAAAAGACATTATTCACTGATAATATTCCAATTTTTTTGATAACTGCTGTGACCAGATCATTAAGTTTGTGAGTTCAATTTAAAGGGATAGTTCACTTTGAAATTAATTTTTGATATGTTTTAGCTTATCTCAAGGGCATCCAAGATGTAGGTCTCTGTGTTTCCGCAGTATTTTCAATTTTGATATAATTTTGATAGATTTTCCTTCCAAATATTTAATTTTTATTCCACAGAAAATACAGCAGAATATGAGTGTGAAAAGCTATGAGGGACAGTAAATTATCAAACAATTTATTTTGCGTTGAGGTAAAAGGCAATGAAATGAGCAACAAGAACAAGATCTTCTGCCCGCAAGGTTCATACAAATTACATTTATATATATTTTTTTTTGAAGATCTATTTTCAAAAGGATTTTCTCTGCTGGCTGAAGACACAAGGGAGATAAAGAGATTGTAGTCAACCCATAGCCAAGTCGATTCTTTCTTAATGAAAACAGATATCTTCTGGAGTCCAGGAAGGGGAGCAAAAAAATAAAAAGTGATTCCTCGAAGAGGCTCTCATGAGAAGTGCATCGTGGGTGATATTATTCTAACCAGGTGTTTACATCAAGGTCTACTTTCACTGGATGAAACTGAAGCTGGACCAGAGGGAAGTAGCCGAGCGTGAGAGAGGGAAAAGTATGTAGCCAGGCATAACAGATCCAATTTAATTTCCTTTTAAGATGTACCATTTCAAACTCACTGGTGCCATATAGTAAGCACAGATCGTCAAAATACCTCAAAACCACCTCAAATGATTCTTAACAAATCCAGGTCCCAAATAAAGTTGTGAATTTATTTAAAACAAGAAGGATTGACTTCATTTAGAGTTTTCTAGCATTTGGTGTTTACTGCAAAATGTACCGAACATGCAGATCCAACCACTGTCGACTTTATCAAGGATTTTTTATGGCCTCCAAAACCTTTATTTGTCAGCCGACTTGTTTATCACGTTTTGGGTGTGTAGCAACTCCTTTTTCGCTTTGTATAGGAACGGAATACAAAAGTACAAACCTGGAAAAGAAAATAGAAATTCATTCTCATCAGTCAAGAAGATACCAATTTTTAATTGAGATTTACTGTTAAAGTCAGCATGAATTTCCATTTGCAACTATTTCCTTAATGTGATGTCTTATTCCTTAAAAAAATGTTTGTATTGTGAAAAGTGGGCATTACAAACAAAAATTAAGTCATAGTGACTTTGCTAAAACTATTCCTACGTGTCATCCAATAGTCGGTGTGACCTAAGTGAAGTCAGCAGAAATTTCAGAGGAAGAGACTACATTTTCATTACAAACTATGAAGCCATAATGTGGACCAATTAATTGTTTAACTTCACAAAAGATGTGCATTAAGGGAATAAATAGGTCTATTTTGAGTTCATCATGACTTTAATTTTCAGCCAAATGTCTCACGTCTATCATAGTAAACTGTGGGGATGAAATATATTCCTCATGCAGGGACTAATTTACAGCCTCAATTTGGTACCATAGTTTTACATTGTTTTAATTTATTAGGAATTTTATTACTCAATGAGAAATACATTTTTATTTTGGTTTCTACAAACCCTCTGCAAACAAACCCTTCAGAATGACTTACTGAAAAGAATTGGATCTTTTTTATTTGTTGGCAGTGAAGCTATCCAGCACTGCCACGTTGGATTCATCCCATTTGACTACAGCTGTTTGACTGACACTAAAAGCCAAGGGAGGACATGCTAAATAGGGTTAACACATGAATCTCTGCTTGTGTGCTAATCCTCCATGCCCTGCACCACAGCAAAATATTCCTTCCTAGTTCCTTATCAGCCGAGGCATTTTCCTGAAATCAGACCAAAAAAAGAAAAAAAAAACACTTCCCTTTGGCCCTGAAACTTTTGCACCAGTCAGGCAACATCTGCAAAGGATCACAGAAATCAGACTAACAGTTTTGTCACTGTCCTAATAGATAAATATCGTAACAGCTGCACTTTAACTCCACTAGCATTCTGAAAATGCCTCTCATGAATGCATGCTAAATTGTTTTGGGCAGAATGGTCACACTTACATAGACTACAAATGTATGCTGGCAGGGTTGTGCACCATCCATAATTGATTTTTTTTCCTGAATTTGAATTGAGGTAGCAAACTGAATCCAATCCAACTGAAAAGCAACTATAGCAAAGTGAAAATTTTGATGGTTTTATAGGCCATAGATAGATAGATAGATAGATCTCTCAGTCTCCTGCATGAGCCTGTCAATCGATCATGTTTTGAAAAGCACTGCTCACCTCCATGATATGGAAGCTTGCGACATTTTATCTCACAATTGCCAGTTTACATCTCGCAATTCTGACTTTATTTCTCAGAATTGAGAGATATAAAGTCACAATTGTAATAAATTGAGAATTCTGACTTTTTTCTCGCAATTGTGACTTTATATCACGCAATTCTCGCTATATCCTGCAATTCTGACTTCATAACATGCAATTGCAAGTTTATTTTCTTTACTGATTTTTTTGCCCTTAAAATTGGACTTTATAACTCGCAATTGCGAGTTTTATGAAAAGATGTCAGAAATGCGAGATATAAACTCGCAATAGCGTGTTATAAAGTCAGAAGTCAGAGTTATAAAGTCCAATTCTAAGGGAAAAGAAACTTCTGAGAAATTGTTTTTCTCAGAATTGCGAGTTTATATCTCACAATTCTGACTTTTTAACACGCAATTGCGTTATATCATGCAATTCTGACTTTATAACACACAATGTGACTTTATACAAAACAATTTTGTCTTTAACTTGCAATTGCAACTTTATATTACGCAATTCTGACTACATCTCGCAATTGCAAGTTTATTTTCTTTACTGACTTTTTTCCCCTTAGAATTGGACTTTATAACTGGCAATTGCGAGTTTATATAGATGTATAGATGTGTGTAACTTTATATCACGCAATTCTGAAAAAGTCCCATAAAAAGTCATAATTGCGTGATTACTTTTTTTATTTTTCATTCTGTGGCGGAAACAAACTTCCATAAGGTGATGCTCTGTTGTAGTGAATTCAAAGCATTCAGTTAAAAGTTTCATTGGTTTACTGGGAATCACTGGTGTTGGTCTTCAATGCAAATGAACCTACTCTATGTCTACTTAAAATATTTTAGGTCTCCATTTCTTTTAGAAAGAAATACAGCACATTCAAGATTGTTTACCGCTGACTGGCAACCTCAATCTCCTTTTTAGAGGAACGTGGTCTGGAAGTTGTTCATTGACATGCAGGTTTTGATTGACTCTTACGTAAGTACTGTTACATCTTGGCTTCTTGATGCAGTTGAGTAAGAATCTACTCCTCATGTTGTCAGATGTGTCCAATTTGATTTAAGGAGAGACTAAACAGAAAAGAACATACGGCAGCATTACAAGTAGAAACATTAAAAGTGCAACAGACAGCAGATAAGCAATGGTTTGAAAACATAAGACATAAGCTGTTACAAACGTCTCCGGTCATTCATGTTTGGATTATAGTATTTGGCTTCTTGTTTGAATTACCCTTGTGATTGCATGTTCTTGGAATTAAGACTGCTTGCTAAGATTCTCACCTCTCATCGAGGTCCATGTGTGTGTGTGTTTATGTGTATTTAAGTGTCTTGACTTGGTAGGCAGACACGTGTTTCTAATGTACTGTTAAACGTCAGTATTGACTCATTCTGCATTAGTGTTCTCGGAGCCACCACACATTATTTGTACCATGTCAAATTTAAGACAACTGATGCCATTTTATAGAAAACCATCCAAACTATGTGAGATTCAGCAGTAATGCTCTGGGCTGAGCTAAATCATAGCCTTGTGAATGAGAAAGCTGATTGATAACAAGCGTTATACGTAGGAGAATTCAGGATTATGGACATTATGTAACTATTCTGTACGTCCCAATTATCATAAACAATAGTGTTTTGAACATAAAGTGCATCATGTTGTATACAGTGCAAGAAACAAAGGGCAAATCTATTTGAATATTATGAAATGAATCTATGAATTTACCTACAGACTTATCTGATGCAACACATTCATTTTTGGATGGATAGGATAGTAGAAAGCTGAACAGTAAAAAAATGTAGGTTAACACTAACAGGCCTACATTTAACAGACTTGTTGAACTGGAAGAATGTTGATTACCTTATATCACTCACTATAATCAGACCACTATGTCTCATGCTCTTAAAACAATGATGTTTTTTTTTTTTGAATGACTAAATTAATGGATTTGGGTCATTATAAAATTGAAGATAAATTTACACTAAACTAAACCTTTATCTTTTAACTAAATATATTGCAATAAGTTGCATAATGCCACACAGTGAATTTTTACTTTTTGATCCAGTTAATTCACATGATCCGATTCAAAATAACAAATCTCAATCTTTGCACACTTAGGAATGCCTTGTACAATAAACATGCTCAAAGACAGGCGACCCAACCCTGGGAAAACAAACATAATTATTAAACATCATTACAATCATTAATATCCACACCTTTACAAACAGAAAAGCTGACAGATTCCTATAACTTGTTTAAGTGGTTCGTCATGTGTGTGTGTTGACC